CTAGGACTCTCAAGAGTGAGACTGAAACGAGATGAAACATTGATGATAATGTCCCCAAGTGTGTTATAAACCTGTGCGGGTCATTTTATAGACTAATCAAACTAGCACATTTCTTGCATGAAAATTGAATACTCTATGGGTAAGATAACCTGACTGGTGAGAATAAACTAGTCTAGTGGAGAAAACCCTTCGGTTGTTGAAGGGTTGGCAGAGAGTTTAGACCTTATAGCTAGGTTTATTATTGTAATCAGAATAGAATTGTTGTGCTTGAAGACTTGTTAGCGAAGGAAGTGATGGCTTAGATTCTCAAGGGCGAGCTCATTATCCTCGAGTGTTATAAAGATGTATCAGGAGACTTCGAAACAAGTGAAAATGATCATAGATCGATTGAAAAAGGCACAGAGTCGCCAAAAGAGCTATTACGATTGTAAGAACTCGCATCGCTAAATTAGGAATTTAAATAATTTAATTATGAGTTTAAAAAATAATTTCATAATTGACTTTGGATAAATATGGAAAGAACATAATAATTAATATCAAGTCACTTTTCTGAAGGAAAGTGTAAACACCAGGTATTTCGTGGTATAAATGGATATCAGCGAAGTAATTCGAAAAATAGAAATAAAAATACGAATATTCCTAGAAAAATAATTAGGTTAAGAATATCAAGTTTGGGGTAAAAATAATAAGCAATGATGTCAGAACTAATACAGGTTGTTTTGCTATCTAAAACGCGTACCGGTGAAGTGTCTCAGAAAATTACAAGAAAAATATGATAATTCATAGAAAAATATCTAGGTTATGAACATGAAATTTTAGAGTTAAATGAAGAGCGAAACTAATTAAACTAATACTGTTAGTTTAAGTGAGTGCACCTATAAATAGCTAATGGCACTAAATCCTAGGTTAGAATTTATAACACCCACGTAGATACACCCTCTCATTTCTGCCACCCTTTGTTTTTCATGAAAGGCAAAGCTTTTCTTCTAGAAAATGCACCAAGACTCTTTCTTTCTTCACCATTGATCATTCCACCCATGTAAACACCTTGAGTTTGTGAAGTTAGTAAAGAAAGTGAGCATTTTGAAAGAGTGTGCTTGCTTCCTTGGTGAGTGAGGAGTGTATCCTTGTGTGTTTTGTGGACTTGGAGCCATTTTCACCTACTTTCAAGTTTTAAGAACCAACCCTTGAGAAGAAAACACCCACCTTGTAAGCTCAAATTTGTGCATCTTATTGGACAGTAACTTGAAGTTGTAGCAAGGCCTCCAAAACCTCTTTTTTTTTTTATGTTTTCAAGCATTGCGTACACAGTCTACCTTTTCTTTATTTTCTATGAAAACTATGAAGTTTTGGTTTGTTAAAAGAGAAACTTTGATGATTTAAGTTAAAGGTTGTTAATTTAAGTGTAATATGGTGTATTAAATTTCTGTTTGTGAGGAAAATGGGAGTAGAACCATTGGAGGGCATTAAAGTGGCAATTTTGCAGTAGAAAAAAATTGTGTTTTCTGGATTCTCTCTAATGGTAATCGATTACCGAGTATAAATGTGATAACAACGCACTAGTTTGGTAAAATCTCGATATCTCGGGCTACAGAGCTTCAAATTGAGTGAGGTTTTGATCTACGTGAAGCTATCAAAAAGAGATACAATCCTATAAAATTTCAGATCCATTGGATAAGTGTACTGATCGCGGTTTGAATTTGAAGCTGTTGCCTTGTTATTGGAAATTCGATTTGCAACAGTCATTTTGCAAAAAATATAACCAAAGTTATACAACTTTGATTGAGACATAAAATATGTATTTGGAAACCTTAGGATGTCTAGTTTAACATATTAAAATCTTAGAATTTTTCATAAATAGTTACAATTAAAGTTTTAAAAAGAGTAAACGCGTTGTCTGGCTAGAAGACTTGTTAGCACACATACATGATATATATATGTTGTTGCATTATATGGATATTATTAGGGAAAATTGTTTGTTCTTTTAAATGACAAACTTATGTCATTTCACTTCCACAAAGAGGTGGTACCCACACCTTTATTGTTTTTGGTCTACTCTCTCCCCCTTTATCTATCTCTTTCTCTCACTTAAAATGACACAACTTTACATCCTTTAAAATGACACACACTTTTCCCATATTATTACTGTTGAACTGTTTTTTTTAAACTGTTATACCGAAGTGAGCTTGGGGCAGAGGAACTATTCGAGAATCCATGCTTACTAAGATTTCCGTTTAGAGATCTTACCCCTTCTATGGCACATTTTCGGGTGTAGATATCCATGAGATGGATGCTTCCTGAGGCAAGAGGCCAGAGCAGAGTTGATTTATATGCATGCTTTATTTATAATATTTGGATATGATTATTGTATCTGAGATATGACTTTTATATGTATGTTATGTTTGTTGTGAGTATGGGGTTGTCCATGCCTTATTTGATATTATATTGGGCATGTATGTTTTGTATATGCTATGATGTGGACATTGTCATGACTATGTGTGGTAGTTCATGACTTAGTATTTATTCATGTTATTGAGGCATTTTCTGTTATCGTAGTTTTGCCATTTCGTACAGGCGATTATAAAAAAAATCCACTCGGTTATTTTAATGAGACTCATAATTGATTTAATTAGCTTACACATTTATTTGAGCTGCGCTTATACCATTTGTATGTTAATACACCGGATGCGCACGAGGTGTTACAAAGATCACAAGCATCGACCTCTTGAGTTTGATGAGGGAGATCATGTTTTCGTGAGACTATCGCCTATGACTGGTGTTTGGCATACTTTTGGGGTAGGAAAGCTAAGTCTTAGATTCATAGGACCGTACCAGATAATCCATAGGGTAGGATCGGTTTCCTATAAGCTTGCTTTACCTACTCAGTTGCCGAATATGCACGATGTGTTCCACATCTCAAAGGTTAGGAGATATATTTGGGATAATTTGCATGTGGTGGAACCCAATGACAAAGTAAATGATTCTGAGAGTCTACTTGAGAGCGGGAGAATGAGCTTCATTGGTTGTATCCTGAGATTAGGGACTTATATGTTCCTAAATTTGCGGACAAAATTGCAAAAAAATAGGGCGAATATAATAACACTAATTTTCGAATTATGAAAATTGCATGTGATTAAGAATTTAATCATGCATAATGAAGATTAATTAAATGATAGAATTAATTAAAGGAATTAAAGTCACTGTTAGGGCAAAAGTGTAATTAGTGGAAGGGTTGAGGCAAAAGAGTAATTATGCAAAAATTGCCCGGAGTTTGAAAATAATATAGCGTGATATTATTAAACCATAGTTGTGTATCTTGGAATTAAGAAAGTATAGGTAAGTTATGAAATTATCAAAATTTCCAGAACGATATTTAAGTAATTTGTAATTTAGATATTTTTTACTTTTGGCAAAAAATTCAAGTAAGGTTGCTTAAGTGAGTTAAGCTTGGTTTAGTGTTAAAACTCTTCTTCTCCTTTGTATTCTTCTCCTTAGCCGAATCCACCATGGTTGTTGAGCTTGAAAATGCAACCTCTTTGTTAGTCACCAAATCAATAAAGTTCCAACATGAAAAATATGTAGATTTCTTAGGTGATCATAACCTTGTGATGAACACTTGGTGAAAGTAAGTGAGTGAAGAGAAAACTCACCTTGAAATTAAAGTGGCCCTGCCCTTGGTGTTTAGGAAGCTTCGAAGGAGATGCAAGGGAACTAACAAAGAAAATAACTAGTAGAGAGACGTTTAAATATACAGTAACAAATATTTGATCTCCATTTGGGCTTATTCGTGATGCTAATGGTATGTTTCTCTGCTAAAAATAGCAGAATTTTGGCCTTTTGGGTGTGTGACACGGCATGGGTCATGTCTCTGGCTGGGAGCTTAGTTGTAGAAAAGTTTGGTTACTTGAGCTTACTCATTCAGCATATGCTATTAGATCTAAAATCAGATCTTCGATATAAGCCAGACACAAATTGGAGTTGCACTAGAATAATGACTATAGGGATTTATTCTTTCGGATTAACGTTGTATTTTCTTATGTTCTGAATTAAAATGCGAAGATAAATTTAACAAAAGGAAAAGCAAGCTTTAAAGATTGCACAATATTGAAAAGATTACACTCTTAACTTCCGTGTCTTAGGTTCTGAATTAAAATGTTGTAGCCCCCAAAGACCAATCAGGGGATGTCTCATATTTTTTCACGATTTTTTTTTGTATGTATTCCCCTCTATTGTTTAAGTTTCAGGTGTAATTATATATTCATAGGTACAACATGATATGCTAAATACTTGAACTAGGATAAAAACATGTTCATTATCATTTAGTATAAAGAAACATTGTAGACTTAACACACAGCACAAATTCTGCAGAGGAAATAAAGGTGTTTCCAATGAGCTAACTTAATAAAAACAAGAACTGATAAGCCACTTTTCTTATTTGTATATCTTCAATAACAAAAGCAATCTTGTGGCCTCTTGTACAACCTCTGGGTGAGGACATCAAGGACCAGCAAAATTTGTACAGAATTTGAAAGGGTAAATACCCTGTTACATGTTTTCTAGTTTGAAAATAATTCAGATATTACAATGAAAAGCGCAACGGTAACATCTATTTCAGGAATTAGCGCATGAGAAAAGAAATGTTATTCGTGCCTTCATTTATGACCATTTAAATCATTACACTGTAATTTGATGACTCAAAAACATGGAGTTTAGGCCTGCTAATTAAGAGAGTAAGAAAGATACTTACAAAACAACACAGACACATAAATTGAATATATATATGTAGGTAAATAGACATACGATAATGTACCAAAAAAAAAAAAAAAAATAGACATACGATATACTTCTAAGCTAAAGAGAATAAAAAGCACTCACTTTCAGGATAATAGATATAGTATATTTGATTGAAACAATATAAATAAATATGTACAAAAATCAGACTCAATTTGAAGCTTAAAAAAATAGATTCTTTACTTACCACAATTGCAATCTCTTAGATTTCAATAAAGAGAATTCATCTTTTGAGTCACCATGGTATACAGTCGGTGAAGAAATGTGAAATAGGCATGCCTGCATCTCCTGTTGAATAATATGGGACCGAAAACTCCCCAAAATCCCGATGCAAATCCAATTCCCAAGCCCATATAGAACCATGAATATACTTCAGATTTATCATCATCACCATCATGATCTTCTCCCATTAATTTTGTATCATGTGGTTTTTTATTTTGTGGGCAGATCTGAGTAAGTGGAGGTCCACAAAGTTCATTATTACCCATATAACTAAGATTTGTGAAACCTTGAAGTTGGGTCCCCGATGGAATTTTGCCCATAAAATTGTTGAAGGACAAATTTAAGTCACCAAGAAAAGACAAACCAGACAAGAACTGTGGAATTTGTCTTGAGAGACGATTGTTTGAGAGATCAAGGCACTCCAACTGTTTCAAGTTTCCAATTTCATTTTTTATCGTCCCTATTAATCGATTATGGGACAAATTCATTGACTGCAATCTAGTCAGCATGAATATCTCTAAAGGCACTGTTCCAGACAAATTGTTGCTTGAAAGATCAATAGCATACATCAACTTCCAATATTCTAATTCATTGCCTTTTTTGGGCATAATAACAACAAAAACAATGTCTACTTCATTATCAGTTGATTGAATTCTAATGCCGAACTCCCCAATTGAAGCATGATCAGAAAGCATAGATGTGATGTTATGGAGGCAGTTGGGTATTGGTCCTGATAATCTGTTATTTGCAAAGTCCATGAACATTAGTGAATTAAGTTGGCATATCTGTGTGGGGATGTTGCCACTGAATTGGTTCGAGCTCAGTTGGATAATTTTTACACTCCCCATCCAGCTTGGTATAGCTCCAGAGAAGTTATTTTCGCCTAAATTAAGGATCCAAAGGTTCTGGCAATCTTTTAGTGACAAAGGTACTTCTCCAAAGAAATTATTTTCATTTAAATGCAATGAAACAAGATTAGACAAGGAGGCCATTGATTGAGGAATCTTTCCAGTTAAGGTATTCTTCCCCAAACTTATATGACGCAACTGTTTCCAGTGAATCCAACAATCTGTGAGTTCTCCCGATAAAAGATTATTGCTCATTTCTAAGTACTTTAAACTGCTTTCTTCTACCATCTTATGACATAATAGAGGAGAAATGGATACAGTCAAAGAGTTATTAAATAAACTCAAAGCGGCCACTTTAGGTGATAATCGAGGCAAACCACCTCGCAAATTATTGGATTCCAACCAAACCAATGTCGAGTTTAGCAACACATTTGACATGTCCTCGCTGATTGTGTTGTTGTGTAAAGAGAACCATTCAAGTTGAGCAGCAAAGTCCCAAAGCTTGTCAAGAGGTTCAAATGAAGCACGTGAGTTTTCAATGAGTAGAAAATTGAGAGAACTCTGTGTAAATAGCCATGAAGGAAGTTTGTCAGTCACATATCCCAACCAAATACCTTTAAGTTGAAATGGAGGGATCCATTCAGGATCAAAATCAAAGACCAAGGCTGGCGAGCTCAAGAGAAGGTGCTTCTAATTTGAAAGAGAAAGTAAATTTCTTTCAGACACATTTCCTGTCAAGGAATCATCACCAACTTCCATGCGCTCCAAGTTGGAGAGTAGCCCTAGACTTTCTGGAAGATTTCCATTCAAGTGATTTGAATAGAGATCCAATAGAATCAAGGAAGATAGATTTCCCAAATTTGTGGGAATTGGACCAGAAAATGCATTATGAGAAAGATCAAGTTCTTGTAGTCTTTCAAGTTGCCCTATCCAATCTGGAATAGGTCGACCCATGTTATTATGAGACAACCAAGGATTTGATGCTGCCATGATTTGGCAATATTTTCGATAGTTGGCCATGTATACTATTTTGACTAAGGTCAATATGAGAGATGTGAGAACTGAGATTGAATAACCAATTAGTCAACTCGGATATAAAGGACCTGTTTGATTGTGTTCTGATTTTTTTGTTCTTAAAACTGTTTTGTAAAATAGTTATGGAAACAGTTGTTTTCTATATTTTTTTCTTTTTGAAAGTTAAAAACTAAAACAGAAAACAAAAACAACTCAGACATGTTCTCTAAATTTGATTTTAAAAACAAAAAAAACAGTTATAGTTTTTAAAACATTTTTTACAAAACAGATCTTACCAAACGAGTTTTTTTGTTTTTTTGTTGTGAAAATTAAAAAACTGTTTTGGAGAACAGTATTCAAACAGAGCCAAAATGATTGTAAGCAAGATCTAAAACTTGAAGTGAAGTAAAATTAACATACTGAAGAGACGGATAAATGTTTTCAAGTTGACAGCTCTCCAAGTGTAACTCTACAAGTGAAGGGAGCATGGTCACTGACTGAAGCCAATCAATTTCCTTGTGAAGATAAACACCACCGAGGTTAAGATATTGCAAGGAGGAAAGATGGGAAATCCAATGGAGATTAGGAATGAGAATATCAGAATTATATGATAAATCAAGATAATGGAGGTCGGAAGAGTTTCCACACTGATGGGGAAGTGTACCTCTGGACAAGTTATCATATTTCTGACTACCCATTGAGTTATATTGGATAGCCTTGAAGTCATTTTTGCTCAAATTCAAGTAGCTCAAAAATTCAAGAACTAGCAAAGATAGATTGAATTCACCTGTTAGGCAGTGTGATTTGTCGTCCTTCTCTCCAAAAGCAATGATTGTAGATTGAATTGTATGACAAGGGAGATTGAGCTCTGTAACTCTGCCTGTGATATTGTCACACTGAACTCCTGTCCAGTCACAACAATCTTGTTCAATGAACCAAGAGGAGAGCAAGCCTGAAGGATCTATGACTCCTTGTTTGAAGAGTAGGAGTGTGTTCATGTCCTTCTCATTGCAGTGAACATTCAAACTGCACATAACTGAGTTGAACATGAATATACATACCGACCAAAGCAAAACGAATTTAATATTTGAGGGAGAGGAATTTGTTAAAGAACTTTGAGGTCACCACCCCAAAAGCTAGCTCAAAGGGTGGGAGTGTCCAAGGCCTTATAAAGGCTACATTAGTTGCACATACAACCAATGTAGGACTATATATCTCAACACGCTCCCTCACACGAAAGCCCTATGGGCTTGAAACGTGGACAATGCAACAGGCTCAGCCTACCTGTGCTAAGAAACGCCACAAGAGAAAGTGGGGGGCGGCGAGGCTCTGATACCATGTAAAGAACCTTGGGATACACTACCCCAAAAGCTAGCTCAAAGGGTGGGAGTGCCCAAGGCCTTATAAAGGTCCCATTAGTTGCACATACAACCAATGTGGGACTATATATCTCAACACGCCCCCTCACACGAAAGCCCTATGGGCTTGAAGCGTGAACAATGCAACAGGCCCAACCTACCTGTGCTAAGAAACGCCACAAGAGAAAGTGGGGGGCGGCGAGACTCTGATACCATGTAAAAAATCTTAAGGTGGTGTATCGTAAGGTTCTTTACAGAATTCATGATCACAAGAAGATGGGTCGAGGATGAGAATGTTGGATATATGCTCTTTTGGTCACTAAAGTCCTATTGGGCTTCAGTGAAACTTGAGCCCATGAGGCTTAGTGTTGAGTTATATCTAAGACCTAAGCGTATATATTCATAGTTTTCTCATCTTGTGCCTCCAAGGTGAACAGATCATCAGAAACAAACCCCAAGAGGCAGACGTTCATCATCTGAATGGTTGCCCACACAACCATCTCATCCTCCTCGAGAGATAGTCTGGAAGATCTGCCACAGTCCAGCTTCAAGGAGGTTGTTCGTGCTGCGGCGCTGAGGTAAGCTGTTCGTGAAGAGGAATCCTACAAGGGAAGATTCTACACGAGACCTGCGCACCGAGAGGTAATTGTGAAACAAGGATGATTCGGTAAGCATACCAATGTACTAGGTCCTAAACAGCTTCCGCATAAATATAAGATTTCCTACAATTGGTATCAGAGCCTTGGCTGTACATTGGTATGTGAATCTAGTTTCACTATTCATGTAATTAGTTTTGCTTCTTGAAATGTGGCACCTAGGGTTCTAGGATTATGGTATGAATCTAGCATGTGTATTTTATAATTCATTTTCATAAAAGTTTAAATTTTAATCGGTAAAAATGCTTTAATCCATGGTTAGGGTATCTCGTGTATTTCTCGATTTGTAACAAGGAGGCTAATCCCATATGATTATGTTTCCTCCTTGCTATTTTTGTTTATTTTTGGAATTTCTGTGTATTTTTCAATATTTTGTAAAAGTTCAAGATCGAGAAATCGCGAGGAAGATGCGCAGTCAGCACTGTTGGAGACTTTTCGAGAACTTACCGATCTCAGAACGGAGCGATCTATATATGGTTGGAAAGAGGACAGAAATACAAACGCAACGGTGGGTGGATCGCCTCCATCGGAGATCACACGCTCGCCCACGCGCCTCCACAAGAGGCTGAGAGTGGCAGCCACTCTCCGGCAAAGAATGGGAGAGTGAGGGAGCGTCCGGCCACCTTTTTGGGTGGTTCTGGCGGCGGTGCACTCGTCTCTATGTGGCGGTCCTTCCCCTAGAGTTTCAGCCTGATTTGACTTCGGGTGACGGCGCGGCAGACCTGACGGCTAGGGTTCCTCTTTCGCGTCCTAGGGTTTCTCGCCAAAGGATTGGGCCTTTGGGCTTTTGAGCCCATGAAACCCTAAAAGGGCTTGAGACATATACTATGGGCTAGGCGAAAGTCGAATTCCAAAGTTTTATTATTTAATTTTATTTTATTTTATTTTCTTTAAAATAGGAAGGCCATGGATTAAAGTAATTATGATTTATTATTTAATGCTTTTATTGATTGGTATAAATTATATGATTGATAACATGTTTTATTGCGATAACATGCCATATAGAATAGGTGGTGCCATATTGTTGCATAACTTGTATGATTGCATGAGCATAACAGCTATTATGTCTTCAGCGACTAGTATGATAGTTATTATGAGATTATTTTGATTTTAAATCATCCTAAGAAATTAATTAATAATTATTATGATTTTTATTAAAAATCTAGATTAATAATTGAATTAATTAATTTTGGATAATTACAAATAATCGTTATGGAAATTATTTTGATTTCAAATTATCCTCATAAATGATAATTATTATGATTGTTGCAATCTAGATTAATAATTAAGTCAGCTATTTGGATGATTTAAATCTAGAAAAATAATTAGAGAAAATTTCCTAAGAGAATTCTTTTATTTTGCGAGTAATTTGTGGGTTTTCTGAAATGGTCAGGGAATAACACACGCTGCATACAACATTCATGTATCATGATTGTTTGGAGCACACGCTGACGTAAAGTGACCGGATTTCAGGACCTTAATGCTTTCAAAATTATGTTAAGCTTAGTGCACGTTTGTCGGCGCTCTTACTTATATAGTTTTTGAAATCAAACAAAGGATACTCTCAATTAAATAATTCTTGGAAATTAGAAAATGTTGCTTATGTTGAATGGAAGGAGATTTAAATTAAGAGATTAATTTAACCTTCAAGCGCATTATAGGACCATTAATAAAATAATCATGTGAAGTCCCATCGAATAAGCATGATTGGATTTTATTAGATTGGACTTAAATATCTATGGGAGAAGATTTAAATTAAGAAATTAATTTAAACTCCAGGCGCATTGTGGGCCTATCAATAAAATAATCATGTGAGGCCCCAACGGATAAGCATGATTGGATTTTATTGGGCCTTAATAATTTCAAAATTTTAATAAAGTATTGTACGGCCCATCGTCGATAATACTAAGTTATTAAAGATAATTTTGAAATTAAACAATGAATTCGACTGGGCTTATGAAAATTCTCAAACAAAAATGTTGAATGGGTGAAGGTTTTAAAAATTAATTAATTTTAAAACCTGCGGGCTCCATTTGTGGGTTTATTAGTGAAATGGTTATCGCTGAAGCCCCATCGGATAAGGATAATCAGATTTCACTAGATTAAATCTTAATAATTTCAAAATTTTAGTAAAGTGTTGTACGGCCCATCGTCGGCAATGCTTAGACACTAAGGATAATTTTGAAATTAAACAATGGTTAATTACATTCAACTTTGGTAAAATTGTTAACCCTCCCATCGAGGCTCTGGCAATGGCACTGAAGGCCCAAATAACAATTTTGGTTTTTACAAGTGACTTGCCCATCGTAAGCCTTGTAAAGATAAACTGAAAGATTGTTAACAATAAACAAGAGTAGTTATGAGAATCTACTTGCACTTCGTTTGTTTATTGCATTATTTGTTTGTAATTGTGTGCTTTATATGTTTTTCAGAAAATATCTTAGAAATGATTTTGAGTCGAAAACCTCTAGATGGTACCAACTATGAATAAGTGAAAAGCAAATTTTTTTATATTGTTCTAAAACATAGAAGCTAAAATTTGTCCTGACAATGCGAGGGCCATAGCAACCTGCAGAGAATGCGTCTAAGGAAACTAAGATGCATTTCTCAGATTGGGAAAGGGCAGATATGGTAGTTCGCTGCTATATTATTATCAGTCTTTCCAAATACTTGCAGAAGCAAGTGCACATGATTAAGAGTGGAGTAAAAATGCTTCAGACTCTTAATGACATGTTTGCTGCGTCTAGCAGCTCTTCTAGACAGAATGCAGTCGGTGCAGGTTTTGCTAAGAGTCTTGTTAAATCCAAAGGGAAACCCAAGGGTGGTAACAAGAACAAAATGACTTGGTTATCAGTTGTCAAACCAGTTGCTATGAAGAAGCCGCAAGGCAAGTTCTTCAAGTGCAGACTGAAGGGATACTGAAAGAAAAATTGCCCAGAGGTGATGAAAAGAACCTGACATG